AAGAAGAAATTGCCTCAGAGTTCTTGTCATTACGGAACAGTTCTTGGAAAGTACTTCTGAGTCTTGAAAAATTTCACGAGATCCCCCTTGTCATTTTCTAACGACTAAACTGTTTTGCCACGACATCAGTTTAACAGTCTATAAAACCTAACATTGCTTTATATCTCTCTAATTAATATTGCATCCTTTAATATAATTAATGCTAATAAATTTAATTTAAAAATTAAATTTATTAAAAATTAATTTAAAAATTATCTAAAAATAATGAAAGCTGTATTAAAATTATTTGATTTTAATAACGCATAAATCAAAATCTGTTAATCAGAGTTAGTAGTTAGTTATTATTATAAATCAATTATTACGATAAAATATAATGGATATTTTATTTCTAATTTATTGTCACTTTTGAAAAAAAAATTTATCTTTGATTAAGCAATCTAAAATTTAACGTGATATGTCACGAGCGGATGATACGTGTAATATTTAATCGCGGAATCCGGGACGTCCAATCAGTATAGCTAATGAGGCAAAATGTCTTCAATTAAGTGTATCACAAGGTATCGACATATCATGCACAAGATAACGAAGCACAGCCGTCATATCACACGATCGATATCGCACTGCCAGAGATCCCTTTGAATGTACATACATAGAGACGCGTATAACCGATACAGGACGAATGAGGTGCGTATTAGCAAATATCAAGCGGGGGTTAATTTAAACATCAAGCAGGCTAATTTAAAATTAACTAATCACTCGCAGATAAACGCAGTTATGGCATCACATCGAAATGTAAATTAACATTAGCTTGCTAATTGCTTACGTGCGGATTAGACAATCATTATAGATAATTATCTCACAATAAACTAATTGTAATAGTATACCGAATGTAATATTATTGTCAGATATGAAAATATCATTTTTGCTTGTCAAATTTCTATTTTTCTTAATGAACGTGATAAATAATATAACTTTTAAAGATATAAAAAGTTTTATATATTTTCTTATTATATTGTATATTTTCAATTTTTGTATCATAATTTTATATTTGTATTTTTAATTTCTACATAATTTTAATCTACATAATTTTCTTTCTACTTTCTTCTAATTTTCTTTCTTTTTCTACTTTAATTCTACATAATTTTAATAATCATTCATCATTTTTACATTTTAATATTTTGTACAGTTTAATGTTTTTACATTTTAATATTTCAAGTATTATATTTTAATACTTTATAATATATATATTTTCATTGTATGTCATAAATATCTCTTCCCATTTTATTTACGAGAAGTATGCATTCAATTTTCTTTTAAGGAAATGTTTTGCACCTATTTTCAAAATATTGAGAATTTAATAAAAATTGTACAGAATGTCCTTACATATGTTTATAGAATCTTCAGTACAATTTTTAAATCGATTCACTAAAGCGTTCACAAGTTTTAATAAATTAATATAAGGATTTTAATTTGCACCGAATTAACATGTGTTCTTATGGGAAATGTATAACCACATCGATTTAAATGACAAAAACACATGGAAATAATATTCAGAATTTGTTTAAAATTTGCAAAAGTTTAAATACAGAGGAAATATTTGATCAAATAATATTATACTAACTGGTTAAAAAGATATTAAATATAATTCAATGAAGTTAGCCATGTGTCACAAGGCGAAAAGTTAATCATTTCGATTAACAAAATTCGGAATATTTCAGTAAAAGCGCAATAAATATTAAAAAATACATCTCTGCACTGTAGCTAAGATCAAATAATATTCCACACAATTTCTTATTCAAAAAAAACCCAAAAGTGGATATATTCGTCAATATTGATTTTCAGCTATTTTTTGCTCGGATTATACATACAAAACATCCTTAAAATAATCGTTTCCTCAAATAATTGTTTTTTCGTTGGAAGAAAATCGCAATTGTTATTTATTAGAAAGTAATTAGCGTGATTTTCACGATATGTTAATGGCAAATCACACTTTTCGAGTGATATATCAATTAGTCTGGCGCGCTTCGCGAGCCATTACATGTATAAATTGCCACCAATTTAATTATCAAGTTTCTGCTATTGACAGTTACGTGCGCATTCTCGGCTTTGATCTAAATTCTCTAACAAAGCAACCGCTCCGCTCGTACATCTTAGAGAGTAAGAGAGCAAATACATCCTCCGCGACACAGAGATCGATGTGGATGCACGTGTGTGTACTCGCGTACGTCAATAATCAATTAAATTATCGGCAAACGCGTCTAGATAGACGCCGTCCTAATTTGCGCCTCCAATGTCCAAATCGCTATAGCGGCATACAGTTATATAGGGACCGGCCGTTTGCTAATTATTTGCGGCAGACAGAAAACGCGATCTAAACGGGCGATACCGCGTTATGCTCTCCGTGTGAGGGCCGTTAATGGTATTTCGGTAACATCGGGTCGCAAGTGCGCACTAATTAACGCTGTGTCGATAGCAATGCTACATGTCCTTGTACGCCAAGAAACACACAGGCGTACGGTTGTAACCGTGGCGTCACGTTGCATTTACAATCTATCAAAATGCGATCGCGAAATTATTCGTAACTAGCAAAAGCTTCATACGATAATATTGAATTGCAAACGATCGTTTAATCGTATTCATCACAAATACCCGGTTTATTAAGAATGTTTTGGAAGAAAACAGAATTTGAAATAGACACATTAAATGCTTTAATTACGAGAAAATTTCCAAAAATTATATAATTAATTAATTTTAATATGCATATATTATGTAAAATTATATAATAAAATCATATAATGTAAAATTATATAGCAAGTTATATAATAAAATTTTACATTTAATACTATTATCTTATTTACAGTATTTATTATAACTTAAAATGACACATTAAAGAAAAACATGAATAATAAGATAAAATATGCATTACTGGAGAATAAATAATAATATTTTCGATAATTTATTATTATTGCAATTTTGTAGGAAAATACGGCGCAGAATTGTTACATATCAATATTTATTGCTTCATCGTTCAATTCTCCGTCTCGCGCATTATCATTAATATCCGCTTCTCTAATAGTGGAATACATAAATAAACATCTGTAAATACGGTGACTGCAAGCTGTGATTGCATCGCGGTTTGTTTATGTGTTTACATATACACATGTAAACAAAATCCTTTCGTATCTGCATCAACTCGAGTAAGCGGATTGATTTGAGCCGCAGAAATTTTGTACATATATGTGTATGTGGCATTCTATCTCTGTTTTCATTTTGAAATTTATTTTCATTCTTCCTCTGGATCTGCACTATTCGACGAATTTCCGCTCGTTAAATATAGCACCCATATACACGGTGAGGTCGGCACACATAGATCCGGATAGTGAATGATGGTAACTAACTAGAACACCGTCTATATCGTATATATTTGTATGTGTGCGCGCGTGTGTGTCACGTTTCTTTCTGTGTGCACTAGACCAAAAAATTCGAGGTATTTATTATGAGTAAATTGCCAGTCGAGTTACCCCGCGAGAGATATTAAATCGCGTGACAGCGCGACGTCGCTCCGCGAGCGAAAGCGATTAATTAATGTCGATTGATGTGAATTCCTTTCGCGTGGACATTCGCGACCTAGCTATAGTATAAACGAAGTCAACGCTGTGGAAGCTGCATAGTGTCTAACAAGTTAGTTTCGAACCTTCTATTTGCGATCAATTACTCTTCGGGCAGCTAATTACTCTTCGTCTAGTTTCTAGCAGGATATTGCTCTCCTTATTTCCACAGTGGAGTGATACTTGCATGAGCAAGTTTTAAAGCTTAACTTTGCGACTGCAATAACAATAAAACAAAACAAAAAAAGTTCTGTTATCCTATCTGATTTCGCATTGTTGTGTATATAAAATATTATATTATGATACAAGGATAATGATTCATCCACATTTTTTAATCTTTACTTTCGTATATATCTATAAAAACATCTCCTCTCTAACATAGAAATTTTTATTTAAAATTTTTTTTCTTTAAAATTTTTAAAAAAATTTTTCATCTCTTGAAAATAATTTAGAACCTTAGCATTACTAACAGATACGAGAAAATAATATACCTCTCTTTCCCTTTATAAAAAAATTAAAAACAGACATTAATTTATGAAGACATTACTCGCATCTAAATTATTTTATGTAAAATGATTAGAATCTTTAAAAACGATTACATTTTACAAAAAGCCTAGGAATACATATATTTAAACGTCACAAGTCTATTATTAAAGTATAATTTATTATTTTTATCGTGTATTTTTTATTATTATTAAAATTCCTCTTTAAACTTTTTACACAAATTATTTAATTAATTAATTATTTTACACAATTATAGTTGTTCACTATCTATCCTTCACTCGCACATTCTTCTCAGAGCTATGTTCTCTATCGAGAAATATACGCGAATACAAGGTTCAGCTAATTGAACAGGGACTCGATTTGGTGCTGGTCTCTCCATGTTTTCTCTAGGCAATGCACGTACCACGGAAACCACCGAGGACTGACTGGTCATCCAGGATTGTGCCAAGAAAAAGGAATACATAGACGCGTGTAGTTTTACTCTTAAGTCGATTAAGTTCCTTTTTACTTGAGCCTCCACCTCAGGTGCTCCGGGGCAGAAAATATTTCGAGAGGCGGTTTTAAAATCTCCGGGGTGCTTCGCGTAGAGACGTGACCGAAGGACGATCGAAGGTTTTATCCGACTTGAAAACAATGGCAGCAAATTGGAAGGCAAGGCAATACCACGTGGACTTCCGAAGCACGTTCTCGTACGAGGAGCCGAGTCCGTCTTTTCTGCTTTAAATATTGATTCCGGAGATTGGCGAGATCAAACTAGAATTCTCAAGGGTTTTCGCGGAATTTGTTTTGCCTAGCATTACCTTTTGCAACAACAAATACCGACTATCCGCGACTAAAATAAAAGAAAATAATCTCTAATATATGAATATTTTATATTTATGCTTACAGCTATCGTCGAGTGCTCTCATGAAGTCTTCACTCAACGGAGAACATGAAGGCCGATTATTTATCGATAATCGCTAAATTATGTACGGTGCTGATGCTGTTTGGACTGGTTGCAAATGTCTACTCACTCGATATCCGTAAGTACAAAACTTGCAATAAGATTTATATATTTAATATATAACGAGCATAAGAGACCTAGCATTGCATTCAATAATTGTGTTAAGTATCAATAAAAAAACTGCTTGAGGCAGACAATATTTTAAAATTGTGATAATTTAAACATCTTGATTCAAAAATAAAATATTTAGACAACTACAATTTCTCTCTTTGAATGGAAATTCACTTGTATAATTAAATATATAATTTATCGAGGGAGAGAGATATATTTTTGCTTAGATTATTTTGCTTTAATTTGCGCAATTGCTTCTCTATTATTCATATAACTCGATATTTCGAAAAATACTGTAATAAGCATCGATTAAAAAAGCGTATAAATGACTGTGAAATATTGATAAAATATGCTTTGAGCTAAAACTAGCGCACAATTTTTGCGGGCAAAGTGATAGACCAATAATAAAGAGGACGAGAAAGAGAGAAAGAGAAAAAGAAAGGGAGAGAGAGAGAGAGAAAGAGAGAGAGAAAGAGAATCGCGTGCAGTCAGCTGCACGAAAAGTCAAACGACGTGTTTCCGAGCGAATTCTAGGTTGTTGCAGCTGCGGAAAGCCCATTCTGTAGAGAGGTGCTATCCTTACCCTTACCGCGCCCGGTGGCTTTCTCCCTATCTCCTTAGCTCCTTCTCGGCTGTCAAATTTTTCATCGGGAGCAGGTGATTTCCGAGTTTTTATTTTCCTCCGGCCTGCAATGCGATGGGGGTGCTATCACTCTGAAGTAATGACTCGCTATTCTCCATCCGCCCGGGGGATCAATTATTTTGAATCTAATGCGACAGGATAAATTGTATCCCGCGGAAGGAACCTTCCGCCGCCCCCTTTTCTCCTTCGATTCCTTCATCCCTACTACGGGTCACCGACGAAGGAAGAGTAGCGATTTTGCGCTCGGAGGAGCGCGTCGCCCTCGGAAAACAGCCCTCTCGGTACCTCGAGTGATATAAGCCTTCTATAAGCATCTCGGCAAATTGGTCAAAAAGTTAGCGTATATCGATTTTATTGCTATGTATTTATAAGGAATATAAATTGAAAAATTACATCACGCATATATATACGAAATTATCTATTATATTTCGGCTTGACGAAGATTTTATCGCGTTTTAACAAAAAATAATTATGAAATAATGTTTCAATCTTCTATGTATTTTCCAGCTATATATTTTTACTATGTATTTTTAAATAATATTGAGTATTGCCGTTACTCTTTTATTAATTTATTTTAATCGATCTACTTGCATCTTTTACACTATTAAATACCTCTTTTAAATATCTTTTAAATAACTTTAATTTTAAATATCTTTTAAGTACCTTGAGTAATGTACTAATATACAGTATGCTATTAATAAATTATTTAATATATAAATTCAATTTTTATTTTATACAAAAATTAACAGTAAGAATCATATGATTACTTATAGATAAAAATAGAATCATATGATTACTTATAGATAAAAATATATAAAGATCTTAATTTTAGAATAAATGAAAAATGTTTATTTGAATAAAAATTTTTAAGGAAGCGCAAACAGTAAAACAAATATCAAACACGCTAGAAACATCGAAGAGAACTTTAAATTGAAAAGCTTTGCGCAAAGTATATATCTCTGAGAATTTGTAAACGCTTCCGTGATTTTGATCAAAGACGAGATTCGTTGATTTGCAACGATTCGTTGAAATATTTGAACGGAATGTCTTTTTTGTGGTGCGAAACTTGTTGGAATTTCCAACGAAATTCTTTCTTCCTCAATCGATTATCGGCGTATAAAACGCTATGGTTTTAGAAAGAACGCTCAAGCCGCTTAAGAAGTTCCCGAGATTATTGATGTTTCCACGAGGCTTGCAATAAAGGAGCGGTGTCTCCATCTCCGCTTGGCTATAATACAATCTACGATGATATATGTACCTAAAATATCGTCTCTACAGTACATACAAGTTAATATGAAAACGTTGCATTTGCACTTGAGCATTAAAAAGAAACACCTCTTTCTTCTAGAATTCCCGACTGATTTGAATTCATTTTTGCAAGCCGTCCTACAATATCTTTTAAATGTTTATTAAACGAATATTATAATGCCGATCTTATGTCATATTAAACATAGAAAATATATGTACAGTTGCGTCCTTATCGTTACGTACACGACTATGTCATATTTTGCAAAAGGTCAGCGCCATTACTCTTACACCTTCCTTGTGGTAACGACTTCCTCGAGAGACAACTTAATGGACGAAAGGTCGTGGAAGCAGAGGAAGCGACGAGGAACATCACCTAACGCGTGGAACGCTGTTGACACAAGTGCTCTGATCACGATTTAAGAATGTTTTTCTCTCCGATCTATTAAAACAATTTCATTTAGTTGAAAAATGCGCTCCATAATAATAAATGATATATCTATCGATAAAAAGAGCATGATGATCATTAAAAGTTGTAACATCATTACGAAGCTTTCGCTAAACATCAGAGGGTTAACGGAAATAAAAATCTCAAAAAACAAAAAAAAACGGATGTTAAAAGGCGGATTGCAAGCGGATATAAGAAGGAAGGTTATTCAGGGCTTGTAGAAGGATTGGAGGGCAAAGGGAAGAGCAAGCAGGCGACCATTGTTACAGGCTTTCGCCGGTACCAGGTTCTGCTGGCGTTTCCCTCGTTATGGTAAATGGTCTGTCTACGTGGTTGGGCAAACAGTTACACAACGATAAGTGCTAGCGTCGTCCGTCTCGAGACAGTTTCGAGGATCTCTGCTCTCTGCTCTTCTGTCCTTTGGACGGACGTTAGTTTCACGACTGTCGTAGTGGAGATTCTCTAAAAGGTGTCCGGTGAGCTCTTAGTGACTACTAAAGATGCACAAAGACTTCCATTATCCTCGAGCAAATCATTTCATTCTGCGCTATTGAAAGTATGTATATGAGTTACACATAGACATTCACGCGCATTATTACTTTAGAACCTATTTTAACATAGCAACATACATCGAAGGAGAATATTAGATGTAACATCTAAGCTCATATTGTTAGCAGATTAATTGCGAAATATGCAATGACAATGCTTCTAATGAAAAGTAGTGCAAACGTATAATATTAATGCATCATTAGAGAGCTTAAAGTAACTTAATGATGTAAAATTTCTGCATCTAATTCTGTATCCAGCTCAGGCATTCAGAGCTGATGTTTTTTCGTTCATCTAGGGCAGTAAACTCAATAATAAATTAAGAAACTAATAAATTATTATTAAAACTGATAAATTATTATTAAAATTGATAAATTATTATCGAGACACACATAAATTAAATTGATTAAAAAATCTAAATGAAGATAATTCGATAGTCACAGAATATATATTTCATGAAATTTTAGCTTGTCTTACTGAAAAAATTCGTGCCATTTTAAATATACAAATCACATTGGTATATTTATTATTTCAGCAAAGATATGCAAGAGTGCAATAAAACTTCCTAATGATGAAACTTTTCCTCAGTTTTCTTAGCATTAAAATTTGTCCTATATAAATAATATATCTTTATCAACTGTGAACTTGTAAAATAATCTAAACATTGAAAATATATTCTGCGTGATAAGAAACAAAAGCGATTACGAAAAAAATTACACAATTTTCTCCTTTAATTCACTTTAGATTAGAATTTTCTCCGATTTAATACTTCAAGCGCGATCGTCTAAACTTCGTTCGAAAGTACTTCCGAAAAAAAAAACCCTTTATTATTCCAAACGTCTATTTTCATGCACGAGAATCCGTACGAGAGTGATCTATATATTTTCTTCGGTCGGACCAACTCTCATAAGTCGACCAGGAGCGTTTAACAACGTTATAACTTTAGTAACTAGGGCGAATTTGCCGGCAAGGGAGATTTCTACACGTCGTTCTACTTTCTCACCGATAACAAATTAGCTAAGTTCAATATTTGACTTGGTAATGATTTCGGCATCGCTCGCATTACTTACATGACCTATCTATATAGACATGTAGCACTCGGTGACAATTTGCTTAACTTGCTGGAAAATTCATCTCCAATTATTATTAATATACAAACGAAATTATAAATTAATTTTTCTCAAAGACTCAATGCATTTTAATTTTACGTAATATATTTTAATAATTCTATTACGTAATATATTTTAATAATTCTATATTTAATATTTTATTAAAGTATATTTTTGAAAAATCGTAAAATTTTATTGTAAACATTTTTATTGCAAAATTTTATTACAACATATGCGATCGGTGTTTAATCTCTTACGTCATACTGATAACTTTGAAAATCGCAACATTTTATTTTAAAACTTTTATTGCAAAAGTTTATTACAATATCAAAAACATAGAAACTATAAGAATAATCGGATTTTTTAGTATTCGATATTGTTCGAAAACCATAAAAATTATTCTGGTTCAAAAATTCGCACAGGCAAGAATCAGCATTTTATAATTCGAGAATTTGAATTTAACGAGCATCAAGAATCTTCTCGAGCCTTCGATCTTTCAGAAAAACTTGACCGTTCCTGTTATCTCTCATTTGTTCATCGTTTAAAAATCGCTTGTCATAAACGTTTACAATAACATTGTCAACCGTTGACAAAATCAGCGAAGCGCACGGGCATGCGCGCCCATGCGTTACGATCAGCTGATTGGCAATCAGCTTATCGAAAAATAGTGCGCGCATGACAACTATAGAATTTTCAACCTCAAACCTCATCAGTGGCCAATTGTACGCGATGCTCTGAAGTCACCGCTAAAGTATAAAATTTATTGGTCCACGTCGCAAAGGGCCCAAAATTCCGCTCGCAGTCTCGCACTTTTCGCTAAACTGCACTTTTCGCTAAACTGCTTTTGTCAAACCGCTTCGCTTCGCTAAAAACCACTGTGTTAAAACTGCTAGATTATCTGTAAGAAAGCAGATAAATTCTTCAGCCTTTGTACATTATATATATGTGTATCTTTTTTCTTAAATTACAATTGTAGT